TAGCAGTGTCCTCTGGTTTGATCCACGTCTCTGTCAGGGCCATGAGGTTTAGTCTTGAATGACTAGTAATAGATGTAATGAAATCTGCTTTGTTTCCTGCAGACTGACAATTCGACCAACAGAAAAATAAAGTATAGTGTATTAGCAGACATAGACAACGTGCGTAAGTTGTTAGGATTGCGCTGCCTATAGTGTGTGATGCGTGGTTTGCGAGTGGTAGTAATAGTAGGATATGGAAACACATAGTAAGAGTTGGTCAGAAAAACTGAAACAGAAGTACAGCAAGGTGTAGAAAAGAGGATGAATCAAAAGCGATACTTATGTTCCTTGCCGGTGTCCCTGCAGGGTGGAGTCGCACAGTAGAGTCGATGGTCTTTACACTCTTCAGTCTTCACACTGTTGTTGTTATATATATATATATATATATATATTATTATTATTACTTATTCAGTTTATGTAAGCTTTAGTAACTTTTTCTGTTATTTATTTATTTATTTTGTTTTTCTGTTATTTTTATTTCAGTTTTAGTTTTAGTAATGTTAGTACTTCAACTTATTTTAGTGGACAAGTCAGCATTTCTAATTGTTGTTAAATATTGTTACATTTTAAGTAAATTAATTTTAAGTGAAAGTTTTTCATCTAATATTTATTTTTAATTCTAATTAATTCTAATTCTTTATTTTAAAGAATTGAAACTATTTTTAATCGTTTTTATTTTATATAACAATAACAACACTGATTTCATGTTCTTTGAGTCATGAAATCATTTTCTGTAGTAAATCAACAGCATGCTACAGATGCTGTCCATAGAGCTTGACTTGTCTTGAACCCAGAACATTCTTTTAAGATTAAAAGGCACTTCTGGTTGTAATTGGGATAAGCGACCTTAGTCTTGTGAACACATTCATGCTATCTATCTGTGTCTGGTCAGAGTAAAGGGAATGAGTCACGTTGTTTGAAGAATTTACCCTTTATGGTGTTCTGTTGTAGCTCTGGACTTTCAATCGACATTACAGGGGCCTGTACAGGGAAACGTCCACATAAAACCTTCAGAAGAAATATAAATCTCATAAAAGATCACAGCAGATCAGCAGTTCTCAAAGGAGGACAGCATGAGGACAACACAGTTTAATTAATGAATGATGAAAAAAAGATCTAAAGCTAAGCATTGTTAGCAAAGTACAAAGCCAAACACGCAATAATAATGAAAACACATTCAAACTGTATCATGTGAATCCACTGTAGATGCTGCTAACTGTGTGTTGTACTTGGCATCTGGTTGCATTTGTGCTCTCTGGGATGTGATTGGAGTTGTGATGACAGACAACAGCACAAGAATGTGGTGACGTGGGACATTTGCTGGGGGGTGAAGGTAGCGTGAAGTCTGGCTGACGGGTGAAGGGGGAGGAGAGGAGTGGTGTTGAGCCAACATGGCTTGAAGACCTGGAGGAATGTCAAGAGTTTGAGTATCACTGCAAAAACAATCCATCAAAATGTATTCTTGGCAAAGAGACAAGACAGAACTAGAGACCCGATGAGGAATCAACCGAAACTTGGTGGGGCATGTATCATTTATCCATGGAGGTCTTGAAGTGGAAAAATACTGGAATTTACAGAGATTTCATAATTACATTTGGCAGTAGAACATGACTTTAGAGATAAAGGAAGGGTGAAAAATGTTGGAGTAGCCTAGTGAATTTTTATGGTCTGACATATTAATTAAACAAGATTACAAGACTTGTTAAGGAATTAAAAGTATGTCATCATTTTCCACCATTAATGTAATTTCAAACCTGTATGTCTACTGTGAAATACAAAAGGAGATATTTTGAAGAATGTTTATGCTGCTCCTTTTTATACAATAAAAATGAATGAACATGGCTGCAGTTGAGCTTAAAATGGACAACAAAGCATCATAAAAGTAGTCCATGGCTTGTGTCCATTTGTCAAATATATATATATATATATATATATATATAGTAACATTTTAGGTTTTATGGATTGAACTTTAATTCACAGTAAATAAATATCTGTCATTAAGTGATAATATATCAACCTACTGAAGTATTCGAATGTGTTTTGCACATATAATATACTGAGAACCACCATAGAAACACAGGTGACACTAAAATAATGCAATAAACATAATTTAACAAGAAAAAAAAGAAAAAAAACATCAACATTTAATGTGAAATGTCACACTGGGAATTCTGGGAATGTCAATTTAATGTTACTCACTGTAAATTATAAGATGACTACTTTTTTCATTTAAAAAACTGTAAATGTAACCGTATTTTACTGTATATGTAATTAGCAAATGTCCCGTTACTGTTAACCAAACAGGTTTTTATCATCAAAATTTGGATCATTTACAGTGTATGATTGCTTTTTCTGAAAAACACAGAATTGTAGGCATTATTCACTGAAAATTTTGCCACAGCTTTCAAATTTCATTAGCTCTTCAGAAATGTCAAACTTGTGTCCTAAACTAACTGTTCAATTCAGGAACTAATGCTGTTTAGTGTTAATGATGTCAAATATGACATAATGTATTGACTTTTAAGGTACTTTTTGGAGCTTGACAGCTGGTCACCATTCACTTTCACTGTATGGAACAGCACATCATGACCATTCTTCAAAATATCTCCTTTTAGGCTCAGTGGAAGAAAGTTTGGAATGGCACAAGGATGAGGGACAAAAAAATACATTTAATTGGTGAACCATTTTTTAAAGGATATATTAACCTATTTTACTTTGTTCATAAGTTATTAAAAATGTAATAAAATCAAGTAAAAATCAAAACTTGCAAAGCGTTTAAAATGCTGATGATATGAATAAAAACAGGACTGCAATGCAGAACTGCCATCACTCATTACACAAACAGCTTTTTGGGATGAAACATGTCGCTATAGTCATCTCCTGTCTCATTATGGTTTGAATAAGAAACCCTCTATCACACAACGCCAAAAACAAACAGCTCCTCGCTTCTCTTTTCTATATCTCAGATTTTTCAAAGATCTTTGTAAATATTCACAGAGATTAACTAGAAGAGTTTACAGAAACCGGACGGTTTTGTTACTCTGGACAGTTTGAAATATGGAAACGAGAGTCATGAGACAGTCTGAACTGCATTCTTGAGCTGAGGGAAACTACAGATTTAAGCTTAGGAAAGTCGGCAGAGAAAGTGGAATGCTCCCTTTTTCTCCTTATGTCACCTCGCACAGACACAAATACGCACATTTGTATCAACAACTTGGGTTGTGAAAACAGGTTGCCTTTGGAAAATGAAAGAGGAGTCAAAGTCTTGGAAACATTTGTTTTGGGTGAATATAATCCAAGCAATGTGAAGACAATTGTGGATGTTGCCAGATATGTTACTACACCCTCTAGTGGCTATGAAGATTAAATCAGTCAAGTTAATTAAGAAAAACTCACAGGTTGCCAAAACAGATTACTAAAAACATATTTATTTAGGTTCAAAGCAAAAAAAAAAAATACAATTTACAAGCATGTTTAAGTAAAAAAAGACTGACTCAAGGTCTTGCAAATGTACAAAATCAATTTACAATTCCTGCACATTCAGCAGAACAGTACTGCATGAAAACTGATTGGGCCTGTCTGCTTTCACAGAAAAGCTTTTGAAAAACCCTCGCAAATAAATCTGAGGGCAACAGAAAAACTTGTTTTTTTAAACCCTAAACTGGGTTTGTGAATAATGCAGTCCTGCATTTGTTGTGGAACTAAAAAAGACACTAGATGCTAAAAATAGTATCCTTGTGCTTCAATGGACAATACAGTGAAACAAAAGGAATGTCAAGCTAATCTGGATGGTTTTAAGATATAATTGTATCGCTCTTGAAAATAAGGGCAAATGAACAACAGAGTAAAATTCTCTGACAGCCAATTATTTCCATTTTATGGATTTAATAGTATCAAAAGCTCCTTAAAATGTGTGTAGTGATTCAAAACTGCACACATCAAAATACATTCTTTTTTTTAAAAGCCATATCTGGATATAAATATTTGGATATAAACAAATAAATAAATGTTTTAACACTACTAGAAAAGAATGGGGTTTGTGATGCTGGCACCATGGATTGAAAATAAAATATACTCAACATTAGTGCAACGTCAACATAAAGGCTTTTTAGCAGGAAATCTTAAATGCATTTTGAATGTCTGAACGTCAATTCAAAAACACAACATATAAAATGGACATTTGAAGGTAACTCACCCCCTTGAGTACTGAGGTTAGTTACAATTACAGTAACTCAAAAAACATGTACAATCGGACAACGACTTGCAATGTTTTGGCAATTTGTCCAGAAAATGACTTCTTTTCAACCAAAATATTTTGTGTTCTGGTGGCAGACCCAGGTCTTGGCAAGGAGAAACAAAATGAAAATCAACCGACTGAAAACCAACGTTATTACATTGCTCAATGAGATTGTCAAAGACGTCAACACTTCCCCATCACAGGGTTCCTGGTTACAGACCAGCAAGCTTTTAGGGTCAGACTGGAACCTATTTTTCCCATCCACAATTTCCGGGAACTGTGTGGAACAGTTTCGAAAAATGACACAGGCTAGAAACTCATACTGGAAAGGGTGTCTTTAAAAAAAAACTGTCAGACCACATCTAACTTATGCGAAGTTAAATAGTAAATTCCTTGTCCAGCTGTTAATAATTCTATAAACCTGTTATAGGGAATATGATGAATAATGAATAATTAAGATTAAGAAGATGAATAATTATGAAACAGTGCATGGGATAGATAATGCCATGCAGATTCATGAATAACTTGGAAGCAGAACATAGTGCAACAACAACAACAACATCCACCATGTGCAATAGGTTGACATTCAAAAGGTGCTCCTTTAAGCTACGAAAATGAAAGGAAGTTTTTTTATTCCCTTCTTCTTTTATTATTCAGAGGCCTGGTTATGAAGCTACAAATTATTCATAATTTCAAAGAATTATGTCAAAATGAGCCATTGATACTGATTAGAAACATTCCACACTTTCAACTTGGTCCCAAAATTCTATGAGGCAGGAACACAGGAACAGTCCCGCCTCACCTTCACTCATGATGTCACTTCCACCTCCTCCATGGCCCACTACTATGTGCTTGCGCTGGCCTCATTGTCTCTCTGCTCATTATCAGATGAAGGTGGGCTCAAGGGAAAGGCTGTTTCAGCAGTGATAAATGTATCTTGTTGTTTTGCCTCCTCTCTCAAAACCATACTGAGATCCATCTCATGAAAGTCCAAATCGAATGGAGTAGGAATCGAGGAATCTGGGGGAGATTCACATCCTGTGCAAGACTGCGAAGAAAAGAAATAACTTATAATTTGCATGTAGGATACATAAAATTGCACTACTGCGTGTTAGCATGTTGCTAAGCTAACAATACTCTAAACTGCATAAAAACATTTAGTAAAATAGTCTTTTGAACTCAGTTGAATTTTTTATTAATATTGTTCAGTAGGCTATATATTTTTATAGAGTTTTTTGCAAGGCATTCTGGGTAATTACCAAATTTTTAAAAGACATGCAGTGAGAACTGCAACAGAATATGGGCAGAACTAGAAAGAAGTGAAATGTTGGTACCTACTTTCTAAAAGTGCCTTTATGTCTTTTTAGTTAAGAGCTACTTACTGTAACATTGATGGCCTTTGGTAGACAGCCGGTTTGAAACCAGGGGTGGACCTGCGTTAACTCTTTCTTCTGCTCTTCAGTGAAGTGAGGTTGATGCTTCTGAACAGCTTTGAGGGCATCTCGGTCTTCTTTCAGTACTGATTCTCTGTCTCTGTACACACACACAAATATAAATGAATGCACTCTTCTGGCGGAGTTTGTGCTACACACAAGTCTACTTGTATTAGGTATACGAAATTGCCCAGAGAGTCGATTGAATTCCCACCAAAATCACATTGTAATTATGATATCCAAACTCATAATTAAAGACTTGAACTCAGAATTAGTTTGATCTCAATTAAATACACCTGTACCAACTAATCAAGGTCTTTGGACATGGTTTTTGCAATTTGTACATAACCGGCAAGATGTGTCAGAACAGGGTTGAAATTAAACACTTAGAACTAAGTTTGCTTGGAGAGGTTTGTATTCAAAACAAAGCCAATATTCATTTAGGTTAAGCTAGTAGGTTAGCTCCTAAGCAATCAGGTAAAATGGCCTTACTTGATGGGAATCTGGTATGTCATCATGACTTTGTCATCTGTGTTTGCCATGAGGAGCCAGATGGGGTCCTGCAGGACAAACTTTATGAACTGTTCCCCTCCCAGATCTTTAGATGCTGGTTTATGATTGTGATCATTCTCTGATGAGTCAATGCTTCCAAAGTACTTGCTAGTATTGCTGCTCCCTGAGATCAAAAAATCCAAAGAAAAAAAATGCATGGAAAAAGCAATCAGTACAATTCTTCTAAATTTCTCCTTTTATGTTTCAACACTAGGGTTGGGTACGGTTCACATTTTAACCGGTACGGTACCGGTATCGGTACCTGAAATTCGGTGCCGGTACCCAACGGTACCTTTTTTCAGTACTTTACTCTCTGTGTAATAACAAAAACATTTATTTCAGTGAAAAAAATAAGTCCAAAACTCTCAATTTCATCAATTTGAATAATAGGGCCCTACAATCTTTTTCTTTCTTTCCTTCTTTCTTTCCAGAAATTCTTGTATTTAAAATTTTTCTGATAATCAAATGAAGGCATTAAACATTTATTTATTTTTAATCAAATGAAAATTAAACCCTTTTATATTTTGGCAAACAAACACTGTTTACTGTTTAAATTAATACATAAAAGAAAAAAATGTGTGAATATTCTTTTAAAGAAGTTTTAATAATAATTGTATTATTTTTTTCTACAGTTAAGTTGGTAATCTGGTTGTAATATTTATTTTTATCATTTAATTGTTTTATTTAAATTTGGCAGAAAATGGAATATATAAAGACGTACATTACACTGTACAAAAGTAATACAAGAGTAAAATATTTCTGTTACATGTTAAACTGTACTTTTATTTTGACAGGTTGGACAAGTTTCTGTGCGAGTGTATACAGTATGATATGATGCTAGTTTTCTCAAAAGAAACAGTAAAATTCTCATGAATTGACTCTCACAGCAGGTCTGGTGATCAAGTTCATGTGTTTATGTCGTCATATAGTGAGACAGAGGCCGAAAATCACCGCGAGCATCTCGCGTGCTTTAGTATTTGTGTAGTAAAACTAGTCCACAGACACTAGTCCATATCGCGATTCAAAATAAGTGACAGACCTACTTTTGATTTATTGATCCAAAAATTTATGAATTCCGTGGCATTCCACACTATAGAGTAAATTCCGTTTTTATGAATGGACTCTGCGATCCGTCCGCGTTTTCGCGGAAACCATATGGCCCTAGAAATGTAACCACACTTCAGAACATTTCGGTTTGCCCTGTGTGTTGTGTTTGAATGAGATGCAGGGGTGACATGACGTCACAGGATCTCTCTCTCACTCTCTTTAACGTAATTTGACACCGATTGATTTAATGTGAATCTGTACTTGGTAGTACCGATACAATCCTGTTGGTACCCTTAAAAGTACAGAGTTTGGTACCCAACCCTATTCAACACTTAAAGAATAATTTTAAGAATAAAGCAAGTTACTAATAGTAAATTACTTACTAGTGCCACTTCCAGATGTGCTACACCCATTCGAACCAGATCCAAATGACCCTGACCCTGACCCTGATCCTGATGATCCAGAGCCTGAGGCGGCAGAGCCAGTGCCCGAGCGGGAGTCCTCTTGCAGCAGTAAGTCCAGCATGTCACTGGAGGTCGACATGGCATCCTGGTTGGACTCATTGACTTCAGGCTAATAGACATTAACTCAAAGTTAGCAAAGCAGCAAGATAATGGAAAAAAAATAGTTTTAAAAGGTTCTTAATACTTACACTGTCATCGAGTTGGCCATCTTTAGTGTTGCTGCGATTGCTGGAAATTTGCACCACAGTCCCGCCCCCTTGCGTTCCTCCACTCCCTGGGGGTGGAGTCTGTTGCATAGTGTCTGTTCTGTTGCTTTGCAATTCCTCAAGTTGTAAAAGATTGAGAGGGGAGGAGCATCGGGATTGAAACAGGGGAGATCCTGCCCCTTCTCTCTCGCCAGCCTGTTGCCCAGTAGACTGGGGTGTGCTGGAGCGAGACTGACCATGTGGCACAGTATTGGTGTTTCCTGCAGGCATTGATTGAGAGTTGGGGATAGCGTACAGGGGATTTGGGTTGTAGAATTGCTGGGGAATCATTGTAGGCATGGCAGGATTCATTTGGGAGCCCAATGGATTGAACTGTCCCATTGCAGGATTGAACGATGGTAAACCAACAGCAGAGGAAGGGAACTGACCCAAGGGGTTCATTTGGGCAAGCAGTTGCCCACCGAGCTGCGAGTTGGCTGGGTTCAACTGTGGTCCTGGATAACCGAGTTGTGGAAACATATAGTTTGGCAACATGAAGGTCATGACTGGTGGCATCACTGAAGTAAAGCCTTGCATGGGGAATCTAGGGACTCCTGCTTGCAAGGAAGGATCTGTTCCCATCTGGGGCATTGAGAAAGGTGATGAAATGGGGAACATAGGCATGTAGCCTGGGGGAAAGGAGGTCATCATGGGAGTACCGCTAGTCTGGGATGCTGCAGATGGTGGCCAAGAAGTGGAAGACTGCTGGACTGAGGGGAGGTTGGGTCTTACTGCTGCAGGATTGGATCCTCTATAGGGACTAGGTCCAGAGGGGGAAGGACTGTCCGGTGTGTTGCCATCTACTTGGTGTTTCCGTCTTTTCCCACCTCTACCATGCCGACGACTGCTGCTGTTGCCCACTGAAGGATAGTTCTGGCAGCAGTTCACTCCTAAATGGCACAAGCCAAATATTAAAGGTGAAGGTAAAAGAAGTCAGACAGACAAATTCGACCTATAAACAACTATAAAAAGTTGTTACCTTTTGCGCCAGGTGTAGACGTGTGTCTGCGCTGTGGTGGCCCACTGGGTTGAACCATCCACAGATGGCTGATGTCTCTGAAACGGTTGAGGAAGGCTTGTTCTTCTTGCTGGGTATGTGCAGATAACACCGCCTTCGTGAGGCCCTTCCCGGCATTACCTCCACTTCTTCTCTCCTTCTCCTTTTCTTTTACAGGAACAGCAGCAGTGGGGGACATGGCCTGCTGGGGATTCACAGGCATGGAAGAAGTGATGGAGGTGGGTGGGGCTGATGTGGAAGGTGTTGGGGTGGTTGGCGGCTCCTCCATCATAACAATGTCTGGATGTAGATCAAACAGAGTAGATTGCTTGCTTTGAGATTGCAAAGTCTATCGTTTAATATACGGCAAATCATGTATATAGGTCAATGACAAGATTAGCCTGGAAAAAGTGTTCAGACCTGATTCAGGTGGCTTCTTGTCACCAGCGTGAACAATGGTGCTGCTAAAACTACACTGGGAGGTGGCCGAGGCAACACTTTCAGCCTTACAGTGCAGAGCCAGAGGGGTTAGGGGGTGCGCTGGTGCTGCAGGGACAACCTTTGAACCCTCGGTCACCACAAGAGTCTCTGCTATGTCTAAATGGAAGAGTGAACTTTAATTCTATACATTTAAATACAGAACATACACCGTTATTAGCTGATACTGAAAGAATACCAATAGTGGTTGGTTGTATAAGTCTGCTTCTTTGTCTCTGACTTTATGAATACTTATATGATGTGTTTGGGTGAATATCCCATTATCCTTTAGCAATCCTTTACTGACCTTCAGTTGCTCCAGCTCCTTCCCTTTGTTTATCATCATCACAGGTAGAAGATGTTGTACAGGATGATGAGCCACACTTCCTCTTCACTGTACCTGGGACATTAAAGCTCTCCAGATATCTGAAAAACACAGTGAAAGAATGAGACCACATATCCAATACACATACCTTACATACAACCTATAAATCAGAAGTCTTCAACCCGGTTCCTGAGGACCCACTAGCCACTTTTCCACTGTCGGGCCAGTGTGTGCCAGGGCAATGAGGTGTGAGGCCAAAATCATGCTGCATTTCCACTGTGTTCCAATTTGTGTCAGAAGTGCATATCAGTGGCACTAAATCCAGCTAATATGTATAATTATTTTACATAAAAAGAGAACACATATACTTTGTTTAGTATGCTTGGTTTATTTGTAATTATAGAAATGCACAAAACAACTTAGTCCATTTAAGTCCAAAAGCATACACATATAACACAATAGAAAAACACTGATAAACCTTCATATGTTTGCATCAACTTATTTAGAAAGAAGGAGAATTAACATTAATTTTCCACAAAAGTATATAATGTGAGGATGTTTGGGCACGGTCCTGTCTCACTACTGTGATCCTTTCAGCCAAAGTAACAGAGGGAGCTCACAGACTGAAAACCGGAGTTATATGTTTTTAAAAGGATATGAAATTTGTTACATAGGCAGAAGTCTGATATCAACAAAGACACAGCAAAGACAGAACAAATAAGAAGCCAAATAAATAGCCTACAAAGATCATATGATTTGTCTTGATATTAAGTTTTTCCAGCGGTCTCTGATATTTTCATTAGAATAATGTGTATTTATTATTATGCCGATGGTTAGCATACATAGCCTTTAGCATCGCATATAATAAATTTCACACAAAGAGAACAGAATTCAAATCGGATCGCAATCAGAAACTTGTTGGTCTCTGAAGGCTAATTTTAAATTTAAATTGTTTCAAATGTTTTAAATGCTGATTTTAGCTGGTAGCTTGATATGGAAACACAGGAAATGAGAAGCGGTGCCGACCATCTCCTAACTCAGATAAACTCCACCTTTGTTCATGACCACTCCCCTAGCTCCGGTTGGACCGCTTTGGACCAAGGTATTCGGCGGGCTAAAAATCCCTAGCTATTAGCCCCAAGGAAGCACAGACGAGGCATGATTAAGCCCCGGAAGTGACAGTGAAAATGAAACTGGCCCTGGCATGCACTAGCATGCTCGCTTTTGGCCCCACAGTGGAAGCGTGGCTACTGTCCTGCAGAGTTTAGCTACAACCCTAATCAAACACACCGGAAGCAGCTAATCAAGCTCCTCAAGATTCCTTGAGAATACACATGCAGGTGTGCTGAAGCTGGTTGAAAATAAACTTTGCAGCACAGTGGGTCCCCCCAGGTGCAGGGTTGAAGACCTCTGCTATAAATTATTCTTCAATCATTATCCATCTTTTCTCTCTTAAAATAAAATAGAATGAGAGAAATAAAAATAAAAGCACACAAAAATCCTTTTAACTGCTACAGTCAGACACACAGATGAAGAGACTCACCGTATGATGCTGTCCAGACAGTTGATCTGCTGGTATGAGTAGACAATGGGCAGCTCCTTCCTGGGTGGACTGGACAGCGCTAAACTTGCCAGATCTTCTCTAGCAGAGGTCTCTGCTGTGTCTGCTGCATTTGCCAGCGCTTCTAATATATGACAGGAAACATGTCACTTAAAATGTGATAACATGCATGTGACCCCAGGCTAAATAGATCAAATATAAACAATGCTTACCTAAGCTACTCTGTTTGAGAGCTGGCGGCCGGTTTCGGGAATCAATGAAGACCTGCTGTCCGTTGGCCTTTACCATGTGCATGTCTTGACAAATCTGCTCAAACGTCATCTAGAAAGAAATGAGTAAAGAAAAGTTGGCACACTGCACGTTAGTGTATGTTGTTGTTTATTTTATTATGTAATGTTAAATACTGTTATGTGTACATCTGGATTGAAAAATGGTAAACTCCCTCACTGGTTTCCTGGGCTTGAACTGGTCCTCGGAAGCATGTCCGTTGCTCTCAGAGGAGGAAGTGGCGCTTTGCTGGTGCTCGTTCGAGCCACTGCTGCCCAGGCTGCCGTAGCCCAGTGAGTTGCTGGCATGAACGGGCTGCACCAGGACCCTGTGGATCAGCTCATTCAGCTGTGGCACATCTGGGGACATGGTTCTCACATCCCCGCCCTCCAGGGCAGTGAACACATCCTCATTCAGTGGACTCCTACAGAAAGGAAGGGATGGTAGACAAGTTTTGTGGGACCACTTTAGAGGTTGAATGGATCGTAGTTGATGCGTTATCCATACGGTTCAGCACGCATGTGATCTGTTGATTAATTGCAAAATTACCCATAATAGAGTGAAGGTTTATCACTTGTATGTGTTTACACACTCAAGACATTTTAAACCATTCCAGCGCAAGAAGAGGTGAAAGAGAATTGATTCAGTACTCGCGCACACGAAGAGAGAACACCGAACTGTTTCGCATCTCCTTGTGTTTGAAGAGACACATACACATAAAATTATGACAAACTACCCATCTTGATAATAATTCTGGTAAACGCAGTCAGTTATGTCTTAAGTGAACAAAAACAGCTGAGAAAGAAATCGGATGTGTATCATTATATCGGATCCGTGCATCAGGTCTTAAAGGGACAGCATCCTGTAAATACCTGCTGTTGTCATCAATGCTAATCAAACAACAAAATACAGCTTTGACAAGGATTAATCTATATTTTATTTATACAGTGAACACTATGCAGTATTATTTTACACTTAACTGTTACATTTCTGTACCTGAATACTACCGACCTTATTTTATTTTTAACGTTGTTGTTTTATTTATCAATACTTGCAATTTGTGTAATTGTTCTTATTCTTTACTGGCTGTTCAATTGTCTTTAATCATGTTTGAACTTTCTTAGTTAGTCAAGTAGTTTTGCTGTGGTAACAAAGTAGTACTTAGCTTTAAGTAATAAATGGCAAGCGAAGTTACAATGAAATATTTTTTTCTTGCTGATCCAAAAAACGATCCAATCCGTAATATAATCCGAATCCGACCACTTAAAAGTAGACATCAGTTTTAGTTCATGAGTATGTCATGAGAGTGGCTGCCAGGGCGTTGCTATGCGGTTGCTTAGATGTTGATTTTTTTTTTAGTGCTTGTTCGATTGCTATATGAAGTGCAGCCACTTACGTTCGAACTTTGTGGCGTCCCACTATGAAAGCCACCTTCCTGCTCCAGGGGTTGATAAAGGATGACCAGCTGGTGTCGAGGGTCAAGTACTCCCCACTTCGTGCACGCATGCGCAGGGGCGAGTGGTCGAACGGCTGCCGTGCAAACTGGAGAACTGATGAAGGAAGGACGGAAACTACATCAATGAATTCTTCTGCGCAAATATTCACCATTGAATCTTTCCTGTATTCAGAATGAGCCACTCACGTTTTTTGTGGGTGGCCACCATAAGGAGTCTGTCTTCTGGATGCAGGTAAATAAGCACTGGCTTCCCAACCAAGTCCTGAGGCAAGTAACCTAATAATGGCACTGCCCTGCAAATGAGAGCAAAGGAGGTTTATGCGACTGTTCAAAAGAGACATAGAGAGTAAACATGTGAGACAGCTCTAGGCAAAAATGCAAACCTTTCATCGATCTCTTGGAACAGACAGTTTGGGGTGTGACTGGTGGTAAAAATTCTCTTGTCTGCTGGGATGCGAGGTGCTGTTAGGAAAAAATACGGAAACATTAGAACAGACACAGAATACAAGAACAGTGTGCAAAGTATGCTTAAGTGTCAATATTACACTTACATAAGGGTGATTTTTCAGTTATATGCACGTTTGACAAGTAATTATAGAGACACAAAAATTACTTTCAATAATTAAAGAGACAAATTAAGAATGTTCAAAGCAATTACAATCTATTCTTATTAGATGAAACAGTGAAACAGACCTGTTTCTTGTCAACATGCTTGTTATTTAAGAGTTAAGATTATACTTTGATAACAGTGAGACAGCTTCAGATTTCTAACACACAATAAGTAAACTACCAATCAGAAGTTTGGGGTTGGTAAGATTTCTTTTATATTTTTGTAAGATGTCTTATGCTCACCACCATACAGCATTTATATAACATGTTTTTACTAGTCCTTGCTGAAAAAAAGCATTAACTTCTTTCACATAAAATATTATATCCTACTGACCCCAAATGTTTAAATGGTAAAGCATTTTGTTTTACCCTCGTAGCCAGAGTGAACTCTCTCAGCGATGAGGAGGCAGCAGGGCTCAGGTTGGGACGTGTCGGAGTCCCTCAGGGTCAGCTGATATGGCGTGAGACGGAAGGGGTAATACTTCACTTCTCCATCGCTGTCCCTACCTCTGCTGATCCGACAAAACATCGACTTTTCCTCGGCACAATCCACCTGTGAGGCTGGACACAAATGAGGCTTTAATAAATACTCATTTTCCCAGCATACATTTGGGCTAACTTTAAACAAAAAATACTAAAAATTTAAAAAATAAAAATAAATAAAAAAGAATTAAGTAATTTTTCAGTAGTCACTAAAAGCTAAATGTTGTGTGAAGCAACAAAATCACAGCCAATCAGAACATGCTGTTTAAAATTATTGATGCTTAAAGGGACAGTATTTAATTTCTGAGCTACTACTTTCTATCAGCAGCTGTTATTTTAAAATCTTTAATATACCTTATGTTTTTATTAATATTTTGAATTAGCCTTTATCTTTTTTTTTATTTCATTTTATTATCTTTTATTTCAAAAATTTCCATTTTAGGTTTTTGTCATTTTGGTGCGTGTTTTTGTATTTTTTTATTAGTTTTTTGTTTGCCTAATTTCAGTTTTATTTTTAATCATTTTAGTATTTACAAGGTAAACTTTTTTTATTTATTTTTTTACTTTTTCTCAGTTAATGTTTATTTTATTATTTTAAGTAAGGGGAATACCTTTTTGTCAGAACAATGGAAGACGGGGGCAGTATTTGGAATTATTTTCTGCTACCATCTGGTACCAATAATGATACAAAATTACATATTGCACCTATAAAATACATCTTTGTGGGACACAACTTTGGACCAATAAAATTTCAGTACTTTACCCATAAAACACTATGGCTCAAAAATACACTCCCATCAAAATGTCTTGAAGTGTGCCAATATAAACACCTAAGGACATGTGCATGGCAGCTTTATAGCTGTCTATGGCGAATAAAGTTATCTGTAACTAATTTACAAAAGGTTCTTTATCTTTGCTTTGTCGCTCTTTTCAAACAGTCAAAAAACTTCCACATACTAGTGCCTGCGCAGGAGGACCACGGCGGCAGGTGACAGGGAGCGGTACTGCTGTAAAATGTGCTGATGTCCTGAGATGCGAGCAGCTCCGAAAAAACTGCTCCCTGCAGCCTCTCGGGTTTACAGCGCAGCAGAGGGGCCGCCTGGGATGAGATGTACACCACTTTACCAGAGAGGAACGACACTGCCACAGAGAACATGTCCTAAGATAGAAGTGAGCAAGAATTAATGCCTTAGATTCTTCTGAAGGCTCACAACCTGATGTGTAGATCGGATAGGGAAAGCTCTGGCTTCGTGTGGATGTAGCCTAAGACTAGGTAACCTGACCAGTCATACCGTGTTTTGAAGGGTGTACTCTGATGTAATGTTGTCTAGCTCTTCGATGGTAAACGACGACAGGTCCAAACAACACCCATGACTCTCTTCCACGCTCCACTGATGGTAGTACTCCTGATTAGCTACAAAAAAAACACAACACACCCTGTCATTGGCACACACATGCTGGTACAAAGAGATGCAATTTGTGTTTCGTTTTTCTACTCACCCCGGACTTGTTTGACACAGCTAAGTGCGTATTGCAAGGAGGCTAGGGTGCTTGATCGCCCCTTCCTGTGCCATTCTGGCGGCATGCGGACCTTTAGCTCACGCAGGGCCTTCAGCAGCTCTCTCTGGGTCTCCAGTCGGGCCGGCTGGTCACCGCTGGGTGCTTGGGATGTCGGCTGATCCTGCTCCGAGCTGCCACTCAAAAGACTGAATGAAACCGAGCTGCTAGGAGGGGAGGGACTGTTTCCGTTTGAGCTGAGGAGAGACATTTTAATGGGTGAAATTAGCCACCACTATTTCTAATACAATTGAATTATTACAATATGGGATTTCACATTTCAGATTTTAAAATTAAATTATTTAATTTCAGCAAAAAACATTTCTAAAAATGTCTAAAAATATATCATTTTGGAGCTGGCACAGTTATTAACTAATAATCTCAAAATGAACCTGACCAAATACCAGTCTTGTTACTAAAAAGTACTGCATGTAGAATGTAATTTTAATCTGCCCCAAGTGAAGCATCATCATGCCATTGCCTCAACCAGTTCCAAAAGAAAAGGTGTTCCGGAAACAAAATGTACCAAGCTTAACCAAACTCCTACAACTGGTTTATTAAATTGAATGCGTGAGCATACACATTGTTTTTTATCACTTTGCTGACTTAAGTGGTTCAAAGACCAGTAACATAAGTTTTCACTCACACATTTGTATCCAAAATTACTCTGCAATGGCATTCAAGCTATTTTATCTGTACATATGTACACCCACTGCTCAAAAGTTTGCATGTTTAAAAAAAAAAAGCCTCTTATGTTCACCAGGGCTGCATTTATTTGATCAAAAACAGTAATACTGTGACATATTACTACACTTTAAAATAACTTTTTCTATTTTAATATGCTTTAAAATAGAATTTATTCCTGTGATCCAAAGCTGAATTGTCATTACTCCAGTCTTCAAAGACACATGACCCTACAGAAATCATTCTAATATGCTGATTGGGCCTCAAGAAACATTTCTTATCATTATTATTGTTGAAAACAGTTGTGCTTAATATTTTTGTAGAAACCATAAATTATTCACAGGATTATTTGATGAATTGACAGTTCAAAAGAATAGCATTTATTTAAAATAGAAAACAATTTAATGTGTTGAATAAAAGTATCAATTACTTGATTCAAACTTTTAAACAGCAGTGTACACATTTTCATACAAACGGTACATATAATTAAATACTGAAAACACTGGAAAGACGATTTATAATATTAATTTAACCATCTTCCTACCACATAAAAGTCATGTTAAACAGATTTCAGTTTAAATATCACATACCTCTTGCTTTCCGTAGTCTCTGTGGTTGAACCCTTTCCATTGTGGGAGCTGCAGGTGGATGCTTCTCGTCCCATGTGTCCTTCGCTCTCCCTCTCGGCCGAGTCATTCCCACTGGAGTGGGCATCCGTGTCATCCGAGTGCGTCGGCTGGGGCACTGCCGAGATGTCCAGCCTGGGACAAACAGACTGGCTGTTGGTCAATCCAGGAGAAGCATTGCTGTAGGTTTCCCCTTCATCCTTATGTGCTGTTCCCTTCCCTGAATGAGTGCCGCAGGTCACTGGTGTTTGGAGTTATCATTACTCATCATGATGAAGCAGAATAACTATATATATCACATCTGTCTTGTGCATCTGTAAGGGGCCTTCTGACACAGCAGGGCATGGGAACGCCTTGGTTATCCTGAATATCTGCTGTGCTAAAACACGGTCTTTGTCCGATTGTCCTGGATGTATCTGCTTAAAAGGCCTTAAAGTTGCAAACAGTCTGATGGGAAATAATAACAATAAAAACAGGATAAGCAACAATTGCACACCTGGAGATAGAGAAGAGACATGAAACATTTCAAAGTGCACACAGAGGATAGTGAATACAGCAGTTCTGTCACATAGTGTTGCATTTTAATCCTGGCCTATAATGACATTAAAGAACCACACTGATGTATTTACATTCACTTGTTTTAATACAGTCATTATGATACAGTTGATGTTTAGAGCCATGTACACATTTTAAAGTGGGAGGGTCACTGAAATATTTAAATGAATTAAAAAAAAAAAAAGTATAGTATATAATATATAAATATAGTGTATATATATATATATATATATATATATATATATATATTTATATATATATAGTGTGTGTGTATATATATATATATATATATATATATATATATATATTTATATATATATAGTGTGTGTGTATATATATATATATATATATATA